CATTTTCTTAGTCACACGGATAAGTTATAAATGACTAGCGACACAGCTATGTTATTATCGTGTTTAAAACTGAGCTGTACTTTATGGTTATGTAATACTCCAGACACCTTGGGAGACAAAACTCACACAATGAGTCCGGTAGTTACAGTTTTCATACCTGTAATTACAAAGCCACAGGTTTATTTATAATTGTTTGAAACTTTTTGCACGTGACATGGTTCAGTATTAGTCATACCATACTTTAAAGTAGGTACCCGAACACTGTATTCTTGTTATATAATGTACAATTACTGTCTGATGTCACTTCAGTAATTATAGTCTTTATAATAGCCGTATGCTTTGATCAAACCTTATTTGGAAGTATTCCAACCTAACACAGTGACTTCGGAACTATGTACTATACGTATGTATTATTGAACTATTTACAACACATCACGGTGTTTGATTTCCTCTTGCAAATTATTACCACAAAATATCATAAGCGACACCACTATCTTACTCGAAGTTTAAGAACTGGTCTGAAAGTCATATTAAGTATTTTAATACTTAGTGCTGAGATAACGAAACGATAAGATATTACAGAACCGGAACAAGACTGTGGTATTCAATTAACACTGGTCATGTCAGTCTTTGTATATTGTAGAGCACTGTTGAGGAAAAACCTTGATTTGTGAAATAATTGGTTTTCTCTCACAAATGGAGCCGTGATGAGCAATATCCTATGTAAATGTAGATATAGCGGGCGGGTTTGTTACAGTAACATTTAACAAATATTGGGATACATTAAACAGGATAAAATGGGCCATTTTGCTGCATTCGATCAGATTTAATGTTTAAAACAAGAACTAGGAAGAAATAACAAGTGATGAATATCCATACTATAGTCTTAAAAAAGTGTCAGAAATACTCTGTGTAGAAAACCTAGCTGTTTATAGTTGTATAACTTCTAGGGGAGTCATGTCATTATTCCTTACTTATCATTGCTTACACACACGTACCCGTCATGATTTGTATAGGTTAGGAGAAAAAGTTCGCCGTCCCTTTCTAATAAAAGTTGCGAATTCCATACACCCATTGGCTGAAAGTTGACCCGTAGACAAAAAAATAAATCGAGAATAGATATAATTCTTCGAACTAGGCCATGGCAAACTGACGCAACCTGCGCTTGAAAACTGTTTTGTTACGATACGATCAATAACCACAAGGATTTGGTCACAGTACAGTTCTATATTTAGGTACTTAAGTCAGTTTTAAAATTTAGACATCGAGTGAATGATCTAGCATGTACACCTCTCCATATCATCAAGGTTAAAGAAAAATGGTGTCTTTATTACATTTAATGTTGTATTTTTTTCCATATTTCTCGAAATCTGTTACTTTTCCTTAAAACACAATAAGTGGTTACATTACGCAAAATTATCAAACTGTCGAGGTCTAGATCCTACATTTACTAGCTACAACACATGATTGGCCCAAAGTTGGTTGGCCTAGCACTGTAAAATTTAACAAAAAACTGGACAATTACCTTTCAACTGTAAAAGTGTGGATGAAATCGGAATAGGATAATCAAACCCCAAATTGTCTACATAAAAGTCAAGTGCGTAATCACTCTCAGGTTCATATGAAGACATTGTCCTTTGACTGGCGAAAGAAACGGCATATGACGTCATTCGTAGTCATGGGAGATACCGATATTGCTATCATCGCACCTTTTCTATCAAGAAACATACTGTGTGCGAAACAAACGTCGAATTCAGAAAAAAATGAAACACTTTCATGAACATGACAACCCCAGTATATGACGCCATTGTGACACTAAACAGCATGAAATATGTTCAAACAAAACACACACCGGTTCCTCTGACACACCTGCTCACTCACATATACATACTTCAGTTAAACACCAAACACACACCGGTTCCTCTGACACACCTACTCACTCACATATACATACTTCAGTTAAACACCAAACACACACCGGTTCCCCTGACACACCTACTCACTCACCCAAACATACTTCAGTTAAACACCAAACACACACCGGTTCCCCTGACACACCTACTCACTCACCCAAACATACTTCAGTTAAACACCAAACACACACCGGTTCCCCTGACACACCTACTCACTCACCCATGCATACTTCAGTTAAACACCAAACACACACCGGTTCCCCTAACATTCCTACTCAATCACCCATACATACTTCATTTAAACACCAAACACACACCGGTTCCCCTTACACACCTACTCACTCACCCACTCATACTTCAGTTAAACTCCCAGGTAGCATTCGGTTACAGATAATGGTCGCTAAAAGCAATGACTGGCAACACAGCTATGTTCAAATGATATATAAAATAAAAATCAACATATAGTTATGTAATACTCAAGATACCTTTCGAAGACAAAATTCAAAAACAATATACAATTTTATACCAGAAATCACAATAAAAGTCACGAAAATCTATCGTGTAGAAGTAGGTACCATAAAGGGGAATGCTTTATTACTAAAGTGTAGAAGAGCCACAAGTTTATAAGAGTTTGAAACTTTAAAAAAGGTTTAACACTTTGACATGGATTTAGAATTATATGACACATTCACGTAGGTACTAGAATATAATATCAGGTATAAGCTCTGGGTGTAGCCCGATTTGCCTACTTTTTAAAACAACGCGGCGAGAAGGAAGCTGTTAGAAGTGCTTACAGGTGCTTTTACCCGTGGTTACCTGTGCCATCTATCCTTTGTTGGCAGCTGATAGAATATGTACTAATACGAATTTTATTGAGTATACAAAACTAAAGTTTTACATGTCTTACTTTATGCAAATAAGACAATGAAAATAATGACAAAATAAAGAAAACCATTTCGCAAAATTTATTATATCTAATTTAATGGAGGTTAGCCTTATTCAAATTTTTATACATGACATGTCTGATAAAAAAAACTTGATAATGATGTTAAGATAGCATACACTAGTACGTAGTTTTATTCATGAAAAATCTTCAATTGTTTATTGTTCAGAAACTAAGGATTTTAAAATTGTTCAAATCATTTGTTAATGTTTTGACTTCCATCTTTAATTATAGATAATAAGAACGTTTAGTTACCCAATGGACAGTGTGCTGGATGGTTGGAAATACCTACATGTATCTATATCATGTGTTCATACTGCAAGGTTCCTTTCTTGGACCACTTTTGTTTCTTATATACATAAATGATATTGCCGATGTGCTTGAATCATCTGCTCGCCTTTTTGCAGACGACACTTCTTTATTAAAGTCTTCCTCATCGTGTCTTGAAATCCAAACTGTCTTAAATAGGGATCTTGATTCTTTAAACTTTTGGGCTAAAACTTGGTTGGTTACTTTCAATCCAGATAAAACTGAGGTAATATTTGTTTCTAATTCGATTGACATAGATGATGATTTAGACCTGAAGTTAGATGGGAAAGATTTGAATTTTACTGATCATCATAGGCATTTGGGGGTCATTTTTAATTCTAGCGCAAAATGGGGGGATCATATCAATGCTACATTTATGTCTGTTATGAAGAAAATAAATGTTTTAAGAAGGTTGAAATATTTGTTAAATAGAAATAGTCTCCTTAAAATTTACAAAGCTTTTATTTTACCAATTTTAGAGTATGCGTGTGAATTGTGGGACGGTTGCACTAATACTGAATCAGATAAATTAGAGAAAGCCCAAAGAGAAGCTGCTCGTATTATAACTGGCCTTCCTTCTTATGCACGTATAGAAAATTTACATTTTGAAACTGGTTTAGATACACTTTCGAATCGTCGAAAACGAAGAAAACTTCAACTTTTATTTAAAATGCATAACAAGCTAACTCCAGATTATTTAAACGATCTCTTGCCACCTATTGTTGCAGATAATAACCGATACAATCTTAGAAATAACAATGATTATAGAGTTCCTCTATTTGGGCTTTCTCTTACAAACCTCTCTTTTATACCTTCTACACTTCGTAGCTGGAATTTGTTAGATTTCTCTGTACGGTCACTGCCTTCCATAAATTTGTTTAAAACCTCACTTACTTTAAATACACAACAATCCCCACCTATCTATTTTAGTTATGGTGAACGGAAGTTAAACATACTACATACTAAACTTCGACACAGTTGTAGTTTCCTTAAATACGATCTTTATCGAGTAAGTCTTGCTGAAAATCCAGTGTGCTCCTGTGGACATCCTTGTGAGAATGCCTTTCACTTCTTCTTCGAGTGTCAATCTTTCAGAAATGAAAGACACATTTTGTTTCAAAATTTGGCTGAGTTAGAAGTAGATTTGAATTTAGAGCTTCTTTTATTTGGTAATAACGATCTTTCTGAGGACCTAAACTATTTTGTCTTTACACATGTGCAAAATTTCATTAAATCCAGCAAAAGGTTTTAAAAGATTCTTATACGATGATGTATTTATGTCTGTGTGTGAATGCTTAATATGTATAATTTATGTTTAAGCCTATCTCTTTATAAACATGTATTTGAAAATGTATGTTGGGAGAGGGCTCCAATAAGTTGTAATAACTTGTGCCCAATTCCCTTGTTCAAATTTATTTTGGCAATAAAATATGTTTAAACTAACTAACTCATACTGCATTGTATATTAACCAATGTATGCTACTTATTATTGTATATAATGAGTAGAGAAAAACAAAATTATAAAAACAAATGTAATGTGTATTCATTTGATTTTTTTGCGTGCATGTAACTTTCTTTTTTTTCAAATATAATAAATACTATATCCAAAGATTGCATCGTGATGTGTGTTTCATTTCTGTTTAACTTTGTGTGTCCCGAATTAGTTAAAACAATTAAGATATTGCTTGAAATGCGTTTTAATTATCACGAGAATAAAAGTGATCATGACCTATCAGTTTCCAGTATAGATATTTGCTGGACGGCGCCGCTCTGTGGAATAGGTATGTAGAAGTTATCTCCCTTGTAATAGATCTTCACTATCAACAAAACCGCATGTAAATACCAGATGAGCGTTGAATTAAGAACAAATGTACACTGCGATCTCCCCTCCCCGGGGTCAGATGTCCGACAGGTGAAAGGAGACGTGACTTACTATCACTATGGATGTGACGGAGTTGATGATAGGGTAAGAATACCGTAGTCAACATAAACCAGAGGGGATTAACCATTCAGTCTACTGACAGTGATTCCTAACAAATGATATCATTTATATCGGGTAGATTTCTCGTACATTTGTGACGAACCCATGTTCGGTATGTGCGGAGAAAGTTGGCTCCTTACAGATACGGGCTGGTCTAGACGAGCAACTTAGTGTACAAATAAATACACAAGGGAATCGACGAATCGGAAGCCGGACCTGTTTTAGCGAGGAAATCGTTGATTCCTTGTGTATATTGTGAACTCTAGCTTGTTACAACAAGGGAAACTTGTTACAAGCAGGGTCATTTTGAGGTGGGCTTTCCATGTAGTAACTGGTGGTTACCTCACTGATCAACTTCGGGAAGCCCGTCGTATGTCGTCCGTAAGACTAAAATGTTCAGCCTAAGGACACAACCATGTTATTAGCACAGACCGGTCCATTGCTCACCTTCCTCTGAAACACCAGCTGTCTAGGTGATGGACATTTCGAACCACGCAGCTTATAGGTATAAACTTATTTATAAAAGCCCCTGCGCTTAAGTTTTGTTTGATGTCAGGAGATGTACACCGCCCAAGGTGGTGTTACTCACAACCTGGAAACACCTTTCATGGTATTGTCTGAAACCTGGCATATTCGTGTTCTTCCTCCCTATCACTAAATTTGTACACCTAGTCTGAAATATTACGACGTTCTATCGATTCCGGACCGATATAATAAAATATTGGATAAAACGCTTAGAGTGCTGTTCTGTAAACCATGTAATGTTCTTGGTGTACACCTATATAGTGTATTTTGTGTTCATTCCAGTGCGTCTTAAACTAGCTCTTGATGGGAAGTACGTCTGTATATATGTGTGTTATTAAATTAAATTCCTCATTTCGACGACATGGTTCAAGTGAACCTTTAATGATAAAAAATCGAGGTGCTTGTGCTGATAAATATTGAGTTGTGGTACATAGTTTTGTAATGTCATTATAATCAAATGGTACGGTACAATAATTGTTTGAATTCCTCTTACTAATTATCACCACAAAATATCATAAAACGACACTACTGTTTTACTATAGATATAAGAACATGTCTAAAAGTCAAACTGCCGGCTTCAAAAAATGAGTTTTGAATAGCAAAACAAAAAGATGTTTTAAAAATAACCCGAAACAGGACAAAAGATATCTAATTGGTAAACACCTGTTGTGTCAGCTTACCAGTCCTAGTACATTGTATAAGACCGTTGAGCTTATATATGATTTATGGAAGAACTATTTTTATGTCCCTAATGAAAGATTCGGGCATATTGATTTTGTGCTGTCTGTTTGTCTGTTGTCAATTGTAACCTTGCCCATAATTATTGCACCGTAAAAGGTAGGGTTTTTCATGTTTGACATGTGCGTTCCTTGTGACAAGACCTTTGCGGTGGTACCAACATTTTCAACCATAAGACCTTGATCATGAGCTTTGAAAATTTGAAAAAAATAAATACCGCAATGAAGTGTTTCAGAAAGTGTGTGCAATTAGCACATGCCTTACACAGTACAGATTTAATGTTCCACTTCAGATTTTTTGGCATCCAGTGGCAGTGTTTCATAAACACATCTTGTCCTTTATAAAATGGGATCGTGAAAGCTCAGTCGGTTTGAGCGTTGCCTTAGGCACATGTGTATGTAGTGTGTCAATTTATTACAACATTTGTAGTTGTACAAATCTTATTGTGACAAATGGGCACGAAATATCAATAACAGCTGTGTCAGATTGATACGCAATCACTGGTGGTAAACACCCCAATTCGTTACAAAAGTGGTTTTATCAGATTAAGTTGTAACCAATTGGCACTCTATATCCAGTCAAATATGTCCCAATTTGATAAAATGCTATTGTGACAGTGTTTTTTTTTTATTGAACAATTTGGCAACTTCCCTACGTAAGCTCAGATAAAAATGTATGGTGCATGGTTAATCCTTCCAATGCCGGAGCTGAACAACGGATCGGTCTTGTTTGGCAAGACATGTTACCCCCATTTCTCTTGATAGCATTCAAGCTATGGTGTTCGGTGACATAGATAACAACGTTAGAAGGAGTACCTGCCTCAAAATGCTCCTGGCTTTACACGGGGCGATTAAACCAGTAAACAAACTCTGTGAGAATGAAATATCTAAGCCATCAGAAACATGATGAGTACGATTTGGTAGGTCATTTTTCCAGAACCTGAATTTATCTTCAGGTGAAATTTATTATCTTCAGGTGAAATATTTCATTTTTTTAGGTCAGCAAAGGGAACCATCTTTTGAACATCAACTGTCTTAGGTTGGATCGTTGTATAATCTAATTCAGGTTTCATTTGTAATGTAATCACAATGATTGTGTCGTGTAGAGAAATCTTCCTGAACATTTGTTATAAGGTTTATGTTCGTGACTACCTGTTACAACATTGCGATAAACTGAAGTAGCGGTTGACGCACCAGATATGTCGGATTATTAGCGTCCGTTAGGAGCTATGTCTCTGATGAAAGTTTGAAAACGATATGGAATTGTAAACTTAAATAAAACAACACATTCACAGTAAGTGTCACAATACTTGGCTTTCAAAACGGAGCCGTCCTTAGTACTTTAGACGCTGCGTGGTTTTCCTAAGCTTCGCCATTACTGGGCAGTCTCTAGCACTTAAGACGCTGCGTGACTGTGAAGTCAGTGATGTGTATATGTCAATAAATTGTTTGAAGCCAGGACATTATCACAAGTTATCTGAACATCTGTCTTGATGATTCAATCGATTTTTCTCAAAGCTCTAAGATTAAAACAGATATAGTCATCCCAAAGGGCTCATCTTTACTTCAGTCAGACAAGGTGTGTTTGATATGCTAATTAAACATCCGTTATTAAAGAGATTACACTGTCCAAATCAAACAGTTGGTATGAAAACCCTACGTATGCTGCTATAATAGTTCAACCACTGAGTTGTGGATTTCTGTCATTTCCCTAGGCTGAAATGTAAAAGATGTTGATAGTCATTGTGCAAGATTTTGTGAATTTGTCGCAAGGTGTCACTAAAATTAATTAGGAAAGATTATTCAGTAGTGTTAGCCTCTGTTCAAACAGAGGCTACAAATTGGCTACAAATTACTTTTTATTCTTTTGGTAAATTTTCATTGCCCGCCGAATTTCAAGGATTGTACTGAAGCATTATATCTCCCAGAGTTACTTCCCTTCATCTCGCTTCGTCAGACTGTTGAGAGTCGACGGGGGCCTATCATCATTGGTCATTGGCGAGAAACTTCTCGAACACTATTGAAGTTTATCTTTATTATCATTCTCTTTAAGCAATATGTGATCGTCTGGATAAAGAATGATCAGATATCGCTTATTACAGGGAGTGATGTGAAGACTATCATCACCCCTCCCTCTTTACCACCATCGACATCCTGGTAGTAGTCTCAAGAGTTAAACGTGTGATCTCGGGGTTAGCGAGTGCTGGCGAACTTTCAACCCTACTCATTCTCTCGGCCGAGTCACTTTTCGAAACATCTATTGAACGGGATTAATTGACTGTCTCAAAAAGATCAATTGCGCCTTAAACAATTGTGAGATTCCCGTCCATCTTGTACATACAGCAATCTGAACTGTTTCTGTACTTCAGGTTTAGGGATGGATGATATAAATTTAAACTGTTTCTGTACTTCAGGGTTAGGGATGGGTGATATCAATTTAAACTGTTTCTGTACTTCAGGGTTAGGGATGGGTGATATCAATTTAAACTGTTTCTGTACTTCAGGGTTAGGGATGGGTGATATCAATTTAAACTGTTTCTGTACTTCAGGGTTAGGGATGGGTGATATAAATTTAAGCTGTTTCTGTACTTCAGGTTTAGGGATGGATGATATAAATTTAAACTGTTTCTGTACTTCAGGGTTAGGGATGGGTGATATCAATTTAAACTGTTTCTGTATTTCAGGGTTAGGGATGGATAGAATAAATTTAAACTGTTTCTGTACTTCAGGGTTAGGGATGGATAGAATAAATTTAAGCTGTTTCTGTACTTCAGGGTTAGGGATGGATGACATAAATTTAAGCTGTTTCTGTACTTCAGGGTTAGGGATGGGTGATATCAATTTAAGCTGTTTCTGTACTTCAGGGTTAGGGATGGATAGAATAAATTTAAGCTGTTTCTGTACTTCAGGGTTAGGGATGGATAATATAAATTTAAACTGTTTCTGTACTTCAGGGTTAGGGATGGATAATATAAATTTAAACTGTTTCTGTACTTCAGGGTTAGGGATGGATAATATAAATTTAAGCTGTTTCTGTACTTCAGGGTTAGGGATGGGTGATATCAATTTAAACTGTTTCTGTATTTCAGGGTTAGGGATGGATAATATAAATTTAAGCTGTTTCTGTACTTCAGGGTTAGGGATGGATGACATAAATTTAAGCTGTTTCTGTACTTCAGGGTTAGGGATGGATAGAATAAATTTAAGCTGTTTCTGTACTTCAGGGTTAGGGATGGATAATATAAATTTAAACTGTTTCTGTACTTCAGGGTTAGGGATGGATAATATAAATTTAAACTGTTTCTGTACTTCAGGGTTAGGGATGGATAATATAAATTTAAGCTGTTTCTGTACTTCAGGGTTAGGGATGGGTGATATCAATTTAAACTGTTTCTGTATTTCAGGGTTAGGGATGGATAGAATAAATTTAAGCTGTTTCTGTACTTCAGGGTTAGGGATGGATGACATAAATTTAAGCTGTTTCTGTACTTCAGGGTTAGGGATGGGTGATATCAATTTAAACTGTTTCTGTATTTCAGGGTTAGGGATGGATAGAATAAATTTAAGCTGTTTCTGTACTTCAGGGTTAGGGATGGATGACATAAATTTAAGCTGTTTCTGTACTTCAGGGTTAGGGATGGATAGAATAAATTTAAGCTGTTTCTGTACTTCAGGGTTAGGGATGGATAGAATAAATTTAAGCTGTTTCTGTACTTCAGGGTTAGGGATGGGTGATATAAATTTAAGCTGTTTCTGTACTTCAGGGTTAGGGATGGGTGATATAAATTTAAGCTGTTTCTGTACTTCAGGGTTAGGGATGGATAATATAAATTTAAACTGTTTCTGTACTTCAGGGTTAGGGATGGATAATATAAATTTAAGCTGTTTCTGTACTTCAGGGTTAGGGATGGATGATGTAAATTTAAACTATTTCTTTACTTCAGGGTTAGGGATGGATGATATAAATTTAAGCTGTTTCTGTACTTCAGGGTTAGGGATGGATGATATAAATTTAAGCTGTTTCTGTACTTCAGGGTTAGGGATGGATGATATAAATTTAAGCTGTTTCTGTACTTCAGGGTTAGGGATGGATAAAATAAATTTAAACTTCTTGTATTTCAGGATTAAGGATGGATAGAATATTTTTTTCTTGTTTCTGTACTTCAGGGGTAGGGATGGATAGAATAAATTCATCTTGTTTCTGTACTTCAGGGTTAGGGATGGATGATATAAATTTAAACTTCCTATACTTCAGGGTTAGGGATGGATGATATAAATTCAAGATGTTTCTGTACTTCAGGGTTAGGGATGGATGATATAAATATCTTGTTTCTGTACTTCAGGGTTAGGGATGGATGATATAAATATCTTGTTTCTGTACTTCAGGGTTAGGGATGGATGATATAAATATCTTGTTTCTGTACTTCAGGGTTAGGGATGGATGATATAAATATCTTGTTTCTGTACTTCAGCTGAACTGTTTCAGTATTTCTCTATGGCTGAGGATGCATATATAGATATGTTCTTCCTGTGTAGTTTGGTTAGGAACTATGTACTGTTTTTTCTTTTTTGCAGGGCTGGGGATGCGGGTATAGGACACTTCAGACTATGTGTGATTGGGTAATAAACCAGCTAACACGCAACGACAAAACTATGGATGATAAAATGGCCGTTCCATCTCTAAGTAACATACAAGAAGCCTTGGTTACCATGGGAGACAAACCGGCGTCATTTGTGGATTCAAGGGAATGGATAGGCAGCTTTGAAGTTTCAATATGTATGGATTATTTCATGCAGGTAAATACGCTGTATATAGAGGGTTGTCTGGCTTGATTGTAGACTCTATAGCTGTAGTGTTTGTTTAGAGCAGCGGCTTGACCTCAACTGCAAAAACAGTGTAGTTCTACTGTTCAAACAATGATATCCCCATGTCGTACATCGGATCCCATTTCGGATCCACGTCATATCTTGCGAAAGTTGAAACATTATCTGGTTCCTATTTTCCCACAATAGGTAGCTTAGCGTCAAGTTCTACTATCAAGGTGGTCATAGGTTAATCAGAAAAAGCAGTTAAAAATCACATTTGACAACATATGTATTTTTTCAAGCAGTTATAATTATATGTATTGGAGCATTGGGATTCATGGCTTACAGACATTTTATTTTTTTGCTTTGAATGAATGTGTGAAATACTGTTAACAGGAGAGCTACCTTATGTTTCAAATGACAAAACATTACATTGTAGGTACCATGTAAGATCATACACGTCACTTCCGGTGCGTTGCTAGGTGAACACCTGGATACACTAAAGAAGCATTTCGAGGTTATTGGAGCTCCAGTGATGATGGGTAAGGGCAAACAGAGTGACCTGTCATTTTTATCATAGTTGATCCTCGCTATAGAGAATCAGAATGTCCTCTAAATGTACTCACAGTAAGTCGGATAGAAACCCAATATTGATAAGAAAATAACTATTCTTACAGTAAGTCGGATAGAAACCCAATATTGATCAGAAAATAAATATTCTTACAGTAAGTCGGATAGAAACCCAATATTGATCAGAAAATAAATATTCTTACAGTAAGTCGGATAGAAACCCAATATTGATCAGAAAATAAATATTCTTACAGTAAGTCGGATAGAAACACAATATTGATCAGAAAGAAAAATATAATATCGTGCCCGAATACTGGCTTTAAAGCGTTGTCCATTAGTGTCACTTCCGCTCTTTTTATATATAGGCCATTAAACACAGAGTGAGATACATAAAATATTGTGTAAATAGTAGATATTTCTGAGGGTCACAGTCGGAGAGTTTGTCGGAGAAACAATACCTAGCATTATACTGTGGAATACACACTAAATAGGGTATAAATAATGAACGTTTTGTTTTTCATTGTTTTAAACAGCTAATAAATAAGTCAGCTAATAGTAGGCATATTCAAAACACCGGGATAACAAAGATCTAAAAGCGTCCCAGTGGGTTAAGAGTGCTAGATTTTATCTTTCCATAAAACAAAATATTGTCTAGTGTAAGGAGCCGTGAAATAAATGGGTCTACACAAAACGCGTAAATGATAAAATAACTCCCTCTGTCCCTCAATCAGGTTCAGAATCTGTTGTTAACTTCCGAACGTGTTCTTAAATATCATAATATTGTTACAGGTGTGTTTGTGTAGGATGATGAGGGTATGTTGTAAGTGAACCTATTGGGCTGTATTTGTTCCAGAATATCATGCAATGTACAAATCATTATATACCTTGTTGATATTTGTGAGAATTTGTGCTGAGCAAACGCCTTTGTACCCACAGGTGGGGACAGTGACAATGCATCGAAAGGTGTCCTGGGTGTGTGTTCTGATCCTCCATCACTACTCATTCTGGTAAATAGTCAGTCAATCTGGTAACAATACACTGTTTCACGGTCTATGATTATCCCATCACATGTTTGTATCTATCAGCTGTTACATGTTTTACTCATTCATAAAAAAAGAAAACAATAAAGATTAAACAATAATATTCCAGGTCTGTTGGACGTTGAAACAAATCAAACCGTTTAACAGAATATAGAATATCCTGTATCATCTTTCTCAGGTTCTGTTCATTTTTAAATTAATATATGTGGATGTTTAAAAGTGGTATCGTGAAACCTGTCGATTCTGAAACATCAGAGAGAATGCAACTTGCTGTTGTTAACACATGTGATACAAAGAAATTTGCTGCTAATGACACGTGATACAATATAATTCGCTGCTTATGGCACATGTGAAACGATGCAATTCGCTGCTAATTACACGTGATACGATGTAATTCGCTGCTAATGACTCGTGATACATTGTAATTAGCTTCTAATGACACGTGATGCGATGCAATTCGATCGCGGCTGCTAATGACACGTGATACGATGTAATTCGCTGCTAATGACACGTGATGCGATGCAATCGCTGCTAATGACACGTGATGCGATGCAATTCGCTGCTAATGACACGTGATACAATGTAATTCGTTAATATTGATATTGATACACTTGGTCCTCTGTTTCAGGACCCCCATCACTACGGTCAAATAAAGTCACTGTCCGACCTGTATGAGCGGAACATGGTTTCTTGGCGCCCCCTGGATACCTTTGTGAAGGACTCCTTTTATAACTTATGTTTACCACAATATCCAAATTCGTGACACTGGAAAGGACCGAACTCGCTATGTCACTAACAATACCCAAACACTTTGGTGAATGAGATTCAATATCACGTGATCGAAGGATTGATGCAGTTAATCTGTTTACGATGGAGGTCTAATCTGCCTTCGACATATATTATTTTATGGTAACAACGTTAAGTCACACCAGATCATGCTGATTTATCATTTGTCAAGTATTTTTCTCCAAGAAAAGTGTTGATACCTGCTGGAGATGATAGCTTTTGAAATAGAATTATTTGTTATCTGGTCAGTGGTTGGTATTGATGTCTTCAGGTTTTGTTATCATTATCCGTTGATCTAGAAGATATTATCTATCTTTAAAATCAGGGTAGTCCGCCTGACCATATTTCTGATGTTCCTTCAGTTTTAGCCACCTATTCAGCATCTGATGTTATCAGCAGGTCATGTTCAGTTTTTAGGTCATCTGACCCGAAGGCTCATTCATTGCTCGCCGTCGCGCAGTCCGTAAACCTTTATTTTAAAACACTGCTCTTGCTTGGTATGAAACATCATTTGTTCGAACCAAGGAACCTGGGGATTGGGCCCCAAAAGGTAGTTAGACAGTACTTTACTGCAAAACGCTACTCTTCATTAATGCTTGAATGGATTTCATTCAAATTGTCTGAAACATCAATAGAGGTAAGCAATAAATTCCTAAATTTAGAAGTTGATTCGACTCTTAAGGACTGCTACTACTGAATGCCTGTTGATTTCAACCTAATGTGATCTGAAACATTTTCGTATAAAATTTTGTAACTAAGTAGAGGTCATAGAAACTAAAATCGAACTTCACTTTTGAAAGGTATTTAGACGTTGTAATGGAAATATTAAACGTTATATTTTATCAAAGCTACTATTGTTATTTTATTTTATTTTCATTACATAATGATAACCCGTATACATGTACAGACATTCTTCATACAATAAAAAGTCATTTTTAAATCACAGAGTAATAGAAGGGTTTAAGAATTTGGTAACAGATAAGAGTTTTTATTTGAACTTTCCGTCAATCGAAATCTAACAGACCTTCAAGGAAATTCATAACCAAGATTTTTGCATAGACACCGAGAGGGCTTATAGATTCCATCGAAAACTATGTTATATAAACAGAAAGCTCCGTAACCTAAGATTTACATTCAATACAGAATGTTGATAAATCACTGAAAAAATCCACATCACAATATCTGCAGATCGATTAGAGAAAAATGTATCCAAATCCGTCGTCGAACGACTGAAAGTTTCCTACAAAATTCTGGACACGGCTAACAGTTCCAGATAACAATACCAGAATCTGAACAAATAGCTTCAAATATTCAGTCAACCAACACAGAATTAAAATAAAAGGCTGAAAGCTCCCTCCGACAACCACAAAATCTACAAAAAGGCTGAAAGCTCCCTCCGACAACCACAGAATCTACAAAAAGGCTGAAAGCTCCCTCCGACAACCACAGAATCTGAAAAATGCTGAAAGCTCCCTCCGACAACCACAGAATCTTAAACAAAAAGGCTGAAATTCCCTTCGACAAACACAGAATCTGAATACAAGACTGAAAGCTCCCTCCGACAATCACAGAATCTACAAAAAGGCTGAAACCTGCCTCCGACAGCCACAGAACCTAAACAAAAGGCTGAAAGCTCCCTCCGACAACCACAGAATCTAAAAAAAGGCTGAAAACTCCTTCCGACAACCACAGCATCTGAATAAAAGGCTGAAAGCTCCCTCCGACAACCACAGAATCTTAAACAAAAAGGCTGAAATTCCCTCCGACAAACACAGAATCTGAATACAAGACTGAAAGCTCCCTCCGACAATCACAGAATCTACAAAAAGGTTGAAACCTGCCTCCGACAGCCACAGATTCTTTGACAAAAAGGCTGAAAGCTCCCTCCGACAACCACAGAATCTAAACAAAAGGCTAAAAAGTCCCTCTGGCAGTCACAGAGTCTAAACAAAAGGCTGAAAACTCCTTCCGACAGCCACATAATCTTAAACAAAAAGGCTGAAAGTTCCCTCCGACAACCACAGAATCTAAACAAAAGGCTGAAAGCTCCCTCCGACAACCACAGAACCTAAACAAAAGGCTGAAAGGTCCCTCCGACAACCACATAATCTTAAACAAAAAGGCTGAAAGTTCCCTCCGACTATCACAGAATCTGACCAAGAGGCTTCTGGTCTTCTAGAAATGCATATGAAATATTAACAAGTGAAATCAAATATTAAAACGAATTAAAACCATTTCTTTGCGGCAGACTTTGTAAAAAATCATTATAGAAAGATTTACCAAACATTTCAATCCTTGAATATGTAAGTAATGGTAGTTGTTCCGTATTATCACGGTAAAACAACTCGAACAGCATTTCCTTACAACATTAAACAGACTTTTTAACGATGATGTTTTCTGTGCCGCCTTAGGAAAATATGCACCAGTCATTTTGTGGTGTTTTCCGCGATTAACCTATTAGCTTCTCTATTTTTGCTTAGCCTCGATATGAAATCACATAGTTTACGACCAATTCCACCAGCCTCTCGCTCTTGGAGTTTTCAAGAAGAGTAGAGAGGCTGGTGAACAAGACATGTATGCATGGCACAATCCTACTGGGAACCTCTCTGCTGTAGTTAAATTTGATACGGCACAATCCTACTGGAAACCTCTCCGCTGTAGTTAGATTAGATACGGCACAATCCTACTGGGAACCTCTCCGCTGTTGTTAAATTAGATATGGCACAATCCTACTTGGAACCTCTCTGCAGTAGTTAAATTAAATATGACACAATCCTACTGGCAACCTCTCGGTTGTACTTAAATTAGATACGGCACAATCCTACTGGGAACCTCTCCGCTGTAGTTAGATTAGATACGGCACAATCCTACTGTGCCGCCTTAGGAAAATATGCACCAGTCATTTTGTGGTGTTTTCCGCGATTAACCTATTAGCTTCTCTATTTTTGCTTAGCCTCGATATGAAATCACATAGTTTACGACCAATTCCACCAGCCTCTCGCTCTTGGAGTTTTCAAGAAGAGTAGAGAGGCTGGTGAACAAGACATGTATGCATGGCACAATTCTTGGGAACCTCTCTGCTGTAGTTAAATTTGATACGGCACAATCCTACTGGAAACCTCTCCGCTGTAGTTAGATTAGATACGGCACAATCCTACTGGGAACCTCTCTGCAGTAGTTAAATTAAATATGACACAATCCTACTGGCAACCTCTCGGTTGTACTTAAATTAGATACGGCACAATCCTACTGGGAACCTCTCCGCTGTAGTTAGATTAGATACGGCACAATCCTACTGGGAACCTCTCCGCTGTTGTTAAATTAGATATGGCACAATTCTACTTGGAACCTCTCTGCAGTAGTTAAATTAGATATGACACAATCCTACTGGCAACCTCTCGGTTGTACTTAAATTAGATACGGCACAATCCTACTGGGAACCTCTCTGCAGTAGTTAAATAAGATACGGCACGATCCTACTTGGAACCTCTTGACAATACTCTGTCCAGTAACGTCCGTATTTACTTCTGCATTTCCGATCATCACGGAAACTACGGTGAACCAGGAGTATCGTGAGGAAAGTCAAGTACGCATATGGTGCGAAATTTAAGGTCATGCACGGCGCTGTCCAAAAGAACGCCAGCAGCAATTCAGCGAGGTAGTTAAAATGACGGGCAACACCCCACCATCCAGAAACAAGAAGTAAATTTTCCTTTTCTTCGCCGCTTTGTAGTGTATATCTAGCCTTTATTATGTTTGGTTTACGTCCCCAAATAAGACAACTTCCCCGTGTTTCTCTTGTCCTCATTTTCTGCACGTCAGCCCAATAGTTGATCACTATACTAGTCAAACCACAGCCTAACAACAGAAAGGCGATGATTGGTTGAATATGTACCGGATGTTTTACCATGTACATGCTCACTGATGCGTAGAGTGAGGGCACTAGAACCAAACATCCCCAACATATATAAAAACCTGCACGATCCAAAATTATGTCGAGAGTACGCATGTAGCCTTCTTCCCACCAGAAGAACTTTGTGATATACGCTATTTGGAGAACAGAGGATATGAAAATATTGTTAACAAATCCGTGCAACTCATAACTCTTAAGGTTGTATAGGACCACCAGGAGAGGCCAAACTGTCAATCCGAATCGACAGTTTGTGAAAACTTTGATGTCGACACCAAAGACACGAGGGTAGAGTTCGGTCCCCCAGTAATAGTCGAATATAAAGTTACCGGTACAACCGCTGTCGCTGGACGACGGCCAAAAGCGGCCCTTGATGTACAAAAACAGACAGAAAACCAAACTGAAGGCATTCAGGAACAGCATGACCTCGTCAAACCGGTCGTAGACCACAGTAGGGGTAAGTCCATGAACTTTTAATACAACTGTCAGCACAACAAATATCACCATGGTGACGATATAACACAAGAAACCATTATTTTTATACACAGGAATATTTCCTTTTACAGTCATTGGCCCTTCCAGCCTCTTCCCTGGGAGAATCACCATCAGACAAAGTGCGAACGCCATATATCCCAGCACTACACAAGGAATGAGGCCGTCCTTTAGTCGACTTGACCACCACATATCCCATAGAGCTGTCACAGGTGACTTTTCCCTCATAGCACGGTACATGTTGGTAAAGTTCCCGCCATACTTCTCCGTGACGTTCCACAACAAAATCCCAAAGTTCGGTACCGTAAGTATTATCAAAATGGGTAGGAAAGTTTCGTTGACGAATTTGTACAAGGAAGAAATAGCCCCGGACTTAGATTGTTTGTTATTTGTTTGTAACTTCCCATTATCCATTGTGGAAAACACACCCGAAGATGGCTGTCCTGTTCCTGGTTGCACTTTCCGGGATCGTGGCGTCTTGTCGAATCTATTCATCGCTAGCACCTGAAAAATAGACAATGTACAGTTTCAACTTCTGGTCAGTGGCATTATAAAGATATATAGAGAGGGCACCTTAACACTCGAACCAGCTGACTGAACATGTGACATCTGGTTTAGTAACACGCTCCTTGAACATTGCACATACGAAAGTATTTGTTGATAACACACACTGAGAACATGTACTTACGAAAATGGGTATTAATAACACACTATGATAACATGTACTTACGAAAGTGGGTGTAAATAACACACTCTGATAACACGTACTTAAAGAAAAATAAAAGTTGTTATCAGAATTTTACTAATGGTGTTAATTATGATATCCATGACTGACTATTATGTGGTTTGAAAAGTGATACATATAGTAAAATTGCGATAACAGCTTTTATACCTGGGCCGCAGAACACTGAGGATATAAATATTTCACACGAAACAAATATATCGTTGATGTGACTCAGCATGGGATTTGTGATGTACAAATAGAAGAGAGTCTGGTTCACGTAATACCTTGATGTTAAATACTGAAATACCACTGCTGTCACAGGATCACCATGCATTCCATAGATATCATATTTAATTAATCTACTTTGGTAGTATGTTTCATTTTAAACAAAAAGGAAAAAAAAATTAAATATGTCGATTTTAATTTCTGTGACATCGGTTTGTTCTTGTCGGCGAAACAACCGGATGAAGATTCAACCGATTTCATCACGTTTCATCACGTTTAATTAGTAACATTTATGTAAACGATTGTTGATGAGAGAATTTCATGTAGAAATCTTAATGTTATGTCTTAAACATTGAAGTGTTTGGTTCATAAGTAAATTTTGTTTAAACCGGCCATGAACACGTCGAAAATCATTCAAATTATAACACTTTTTAAGATAGACTTGTCGTTTTCTTGTTTCTGCAGGCAGAAACGTCTCGTGCAGAACCAGTAACCACATCCAACCAGTTACAAAGCCTTTGATCGTTACTTTTAAGTCTGATCAAGAAACGTTTTGATTTTGGCGATTTGAATTTACCAGATATAACGTGGATCCAAACTTAGAACCCGTGTATAATAGTATTATATCTACATGTATTCAGTTAGCCATCATCTGAGTGTTATGTTCTCGATAAGGTCTGGAAATAAAACACTATCATCTGAGTGTTATGTTCTCGATAAGGTCTGGAAATAAAACACTATCATCTGAGTGTTATGTTCTCGATAAGGTCTGGAAATAAAACACTATCATCTGAGTGTTATGTTCTCGATAAGGTCTGGAAATAAAACACTATCATCTGAGTGTTATGTTCTCGATAAGGTCTGGAAATAAAACACTTTCATCTGAGTGTTATGTTCTCGATAAGGTCTGGAAATACATCACTATCATCTGAGTGTTATGTTCTCGATAAGGTCTGGAAATTAATTGCAATTATCGGAGTGTTATGTTCTCGAAAACATCTGTGAATGACAGTTATAGTATCACCCGATTGAGGTAGTATATTCCACCATCAAGACTCCTTCCCCCCCCCCTCCCCCCAACACCCGTAATCTTTTCTGACCGTAAAAAGGTCATTTGACTTAAACATATTTTAGGTGTTATTAATGCTTTTTAGTTTTCAGGAACTGAAAAATGGGCTCTATTTGTGAATGACTGGAAACTTAATGTTTGTTTCAATAGGAGTGATCTTTCTAATGTATAAAAGGACTCAGAATCTGTTGTCTGATATCTTTATATCATAAATTGTGTGTACAGGTAGCGTATTCGAGGAATCATAGCCAATTCCATGCATTCTAAATTGATTGCAAAGAATTTTTGAAATTAAAGGGAAACCCCCAATGAAAACAATAAAAACAAAGACAGAAAACAAAATATCCTTCGAAAACATCATGAAGTAAAAACTCACCTAGAGCATATATCAAAACTTAAACACTGACAGAAACTGCTGTTCTGTATTACAAATAATGATATTCTAATGAAAAGTAGTAACAATATGTTGCAGACCTACTTTCGTTACCGACAACACAAAAAACAGTATTTTGTGGCAATTCTGATCAGGGGAGATAATATAGAAATCGACAGCAAGTAGTAAATTTATCTTTCCTCGCGTATGGGTCATTGCCTTTTGTTATTGTCAGCAGTAGGTAAATGAAACTCTTAACAATGGACGACATAATAAAACGTTTCGTTTACTATTGTTGTAGAAAGAATCTGTGTCGCCAGTCTCATTTGTATATGAAAGACTATATAGAATTACAACCGGTTACGCTGAATAGACGAGAGAAAACAGAAAATAAAGGGGTCCTTAGCTAGGTAACATTAGACAGCAGATCAAGGTTATAATTTCCGTGTCCACGAGAAACATTAAAAAGGTTAAATCATTGGGCATGCGAGTCAAACAGCAACGATAAGTTAACTTAACGTGACTATAATAGGCATAAACCGTCCATATATATCTATTTTTGGCGCTCTGTTATTGACCATGAACCAAAGTAATTCTTGATGTCCTTTATATTGAAAAACTGTTTCTACAACAGAGCAATACATCCGACATCCAATGCGACCATGTCAATAGATCATACAATTTATTTTACTTTGTAAATCGCTACTTTACATCCTTATTCAAATTCCAAATGTTTCCTCCGAGGCATTTTGCATCGAATGGACTGTTGGACATAGTTCTATGCAAGGTTGTGAGCTTCTTTGTTCTTGGGGTTTTCTTTAATCTCCAGTTTGTATCGGTGTAATAAAGCATTGCTTAAAGAATATCTTTAGGCATGAGGGATACGAAATAAGTTTATGATATTTCTCGACCTCGCCTCCTATTTTGGGTACACTATAAACTATAACAACAAACTGGAGTTGCTGTTCGCTAGTGTCAGGCTAGTTTAAATCTGTCCCACTTTGGACTCCTCCTGCAATAATTTAGAACGATATAAGGTGTTACTAAATCTAATGGTAACAACGTGACTAGGAATGTTTTACATTGCTATATTTTTGAGAATCTAGCGTGATGAAGGACATCAAATGATGAAATCACGATTTCAATGGCAGCTATAAAACTCAATTCGGGTCACGGCAGGTTCAAGATTTCGTCGTTCATATATACTAAACAGTTTTGTGTAAGAATACACAGTTTGTCGGATGGGACATTTTGTAACCCGTGTGGGAATGTCATCTCCCACAATAAAGATCCCTGTGCGGTTTTTCGAAAAAGAGCAGGCGCTCTAACGCCGACCCAGAGGTCAGCATTAGGAATTATTTATGAGGTTTTTAGACGGACTTCCAACTTTGTAATAGAAATATCTAAATTCTAATAGAGTAGGACCCCGCCCTCTTCCTCCCTGTCCTTGGCTGCTCTTCTGTGACGTGCCCACCCAGAGCTAAGTCGAGGCTGATCTCTGTATCCCACACTCTTGTTTTATATGGCTTTTCCCCTCGGCTGAATGACCACCATAAAAACAGTATGGGAATATCTTAAACAACTTACCTTGAATGATCGGCCACAGCGCTTGTGTAGCCCTCTCAATCCGTTTATTCATTCGGATGTTACAATAATCAGTATTGCAAGTATACAATGTATATAGTTTAAACGCTAGTGCAACTGTATTAAAGGACATCCAATGATACACAGATCTATTGTGTTGCTAGCAAGACAAAGACAGATCAATGTTTAGTACCTCAACAGCTGCACGTGCTGTGTCCCCGTAACATTGCATTACTGTATTGTTTTCACTAATACCTTAGTATAATATTCTAATCTAATGCCAAACAAACTGTACAGAGCACTACCTTTTAAATAAATTAAAAATAAAAAAAGAAATACCCCCCCCCCCCAAAAAAAAACCCGCCTATGCTTACTGTATTCCATGATTTTTTTATGGTTTGTAGCAATTTTTAAGGTAGAAAAGTTCAGATAGATTGTAAAGGATTTACTTACCTGTTGTAGAAATGACAGACAGCGCGTGTAAGTGTTAGCCTAGTGAAATAAAGTAATCCGTGTGCTGATTGTAGTTAGATCGTTACATATAGGCTGATCGTCTAATTCTGAGTACTACAGCACTAGATGGGTAGTCCTGGATGTACTGAGCAACCGTTTCACCTCCCTAAACACGACACAAGCTGTAGCTTAATAAATCTATTTTTAGTTTAACAGAAGATGGTAGCATCACACGAAATATCACCTCTGTGATCTGTTGTTTTTTTAAAATTTAAATACCGTAGGAATTTTAACATGAAGTTTATTCAGAATATACAAACCAATTATTAGTTTGAAATAATATAAAAGAAAAGTTTTCTTCTTTGTCAACAAACCAAACGCTATACAACACGACGATTTCAATAACATACACATTGAGTATATATGTTAATAGACAGAAGAGGCAGACCAGTCCACGAGATACTTTATATAGAGATACAGTATGTAAGTATATATGTTAATAGACAGAAGAGGCAGACCAGTCCACGAGATACTTTATATAGAGATACAGTATGTAAGTATATATGTTAATAGACAGAAGAGGCAAACCATTCCACGATATATTTTATATAGAGATACAGTATGTAAGTATATCACACACACCATAGCAAATGTGATGGCCTTGAGAGAAATTGGTCTAACAGAAGACAAGCTATGGTGTGAGAATAGAAGTGTAATAGATGGACAACAACATGCTATAATATGTCCTTCAATCTTCCCCTGCTAAACAGGAGAATCATATGAAATATCAAAATTAATTTTTAATTGACCCAATCCAAAAAACTACCTATGGACCATTTGATTCCTGAAATTAGTCACAAGATCGAAATTTAAAAAAAAACTATACAGGTCTGATGAAAGGGTTAATCTTTTATATGTAGCGCGAAAAAGATATCAGAATCAGAGATAGCGTCCCGTCGGCCATTTTGTTACCCGATCAGTCCCAAAATTGAATAAGCCCAACTTAGGACCAGAAGATAGGTACTTATATGTGAGAATGATCCCTCTGATGGTTACGGACACGTTGGACATTCACAGCTCGTTTGAATTAAATTTCATTTCTTTTGTGTAAATTATGCTGCATACGTTGTACTGTCTCTGCTAATGGTGGACACACCAAGTACTTTACTCAGGCTAAACACTTTACGTAAAACTTAAAACTCGAAAAACACTAATTGGAGGCAGTAGGTACTTCGAATATGATGCGTGTTGTTTGTTTAGTCTGAAAGACGACTCGGCGACAATAAAATCACATCGGGCGAATTGCTATTAAAGAAGTAAAAACATAATGGCTGCTTGTATAAAAATGCTGAAAGGCAGTCAGGCGACAACTTATTTTGAATTCACGTGATGTTTGTATATCAGCTACGTCAATATATCTGTCTTATGAAACTACCTAAAATTGACGCAGGCGATCAGTAAATATTGTTTTTCTTCTCGCCGAATGAAGCATGTATGCGTGAAACATATACTGTTATGAATATTGCAGACAATATTTTATAAAGTTTACAACAGAGCGGTGGTGATGAATGATACACCGATGAAAGACGAAGTTTTAAGGTATGCCAATATAAAATCCAGCGTGAAGACATCCTTCCCTGTTATTTTCGTTTTTCACAAATATATTAACAATTCAACTCTTAGTCAATGATTAGTCGTTTGATGATTCTAATGCCCGGCGCCCCTAAATATTGTACATGGTAATTTCTTTCCCAAAACCTTGTTGGACTTTCCCCTTAAAACATGTCAGCCAAAGATCATTATTTCAAGACTTTTCTTAAATCAGAAGTCGTCAAAACGTTTTTAACACAATGTCATTTGATCAATTGAAATCAATTGTTTGCGTGTTTTTATCATATTTGATTCCTGTTACCTGGAATATGGGTCAAGGTCGTTTCTTTTGCCAACGATTTAGGGCTTCATCAGCCAGTTATCATTATTCTGGGTATTTTAGTAATCAAAAGAAGTGTGAAGATTTTAGCTTGACCCATGTGATCTTCAATATGAGGCAAGGCAATTTCTTTCCAAAAACTTTGCTGGACTTTCATCCCAGGAATCCAATAACCAAACATCATGATTTTTCAGCTAAAGTTCAAGTTTGAAATACATTTTCAATGCAGTCTTAATGATCCGATCTAATGATGAACAACCACGCCCATGTACTGAACATTTCTTTTAGTTTCCTAGCACTAGTGCTGGAGCTGTTTGAAACAGAACTCCATCTAGATGGCAGTGTCTTAGATACCCGACTGAATGTTTTGATGACAATTCAATAAAAAATCTATCTATCAGTTTAGGCACAGATGTAAAATGTTATGTAGGGAATTGTACAAAAGGCCACGCCTTACAATACAAATACAGAATTAGATACGGGAAAGCCAAATAATGAATCAAACTGCATCAAACAGCTATTTCATCCCTCAAGCACTGTCAACCATGCTAAGGGCCTATGCATCAAACAGCTATTACATCCCTCAAGCACTGTCAACCATGCTAAGGGCCTAAATTCTGAGCCCTAGTAGGTGGCTGAAGAAAACTGTGGACTCAGGAGATAGGTCATACTTGATGCTCCAGTTCAGGCAATATGATAAAGAGTGTTAGAAAACTTATCAATCTCACCTATCCTTGTAAAATCCCCTGGCCCATCCTCCAAGAGATAATATAACAATTCACAATATGGTGTTCAATCACATTTTATTATGTTATCATTCAATCATTTGAGCGGGATGGATTGTAGAAGTAAACAAATACTTGTGGAATAGTATTACCCATTAGCTCCAACAACTAATTGAATCAGTGTACAGAATGACAAGAGCCATTTAACAGGGACTTCTTTTTGTGTAAATTTTGTAGTCTTATTTTTGAGGGGAAAACATATTATTTCATATCATAAATAATGAAAAAAGAGATGATATTAGGAAAAGCAGGTATACCAATCACCATAGTAATAATTATACTGTGACAACAAAACTGTATTTACTGTATAGGAGAATATGTTAGATTGGAGCAGACAGTGAACATGTCTCAGAAGAGAAAGTAGAAATTTGACAGTGAATGGGGTTAACGTTATAAAGAATATTGTGTATAGGAAACATTGTTACACAAGATGGCTCCACATTGTAATACATATATTTATCAACATAAACAAGTATGAGATACATTTTAATAACCTGTTACCTTTTACAAGTAAATATGTACACTGAAGGTAACATCCTACAGGGTGGTAAATAGCTATTGTAGATGGCTTGAAAAAAGTGGCATTCTCTAAAGTAAAAAGTTACATTGTAGCAGTCATGCTACATTTAGCATTAAACAGGGAAAATTATAGCATGAATGCTACAATTGCATCTAGCAATTTACCAATAAATAGCTACTTTTGCAGGCTTGCTACAGCTAGTATCCAAAAATTAAACAATAACATAATAGCAACCATGCTACAATTAGCGTTTCACAGGTCAAATTATAGCATGAATGCTACATTTGCATCTAGCATTTTACCAATAAATAACCACTATTGCAGGCTTGCTACAGCTAGTATCCAAAAATTAAACAATTGCATCATAGCAGACATTTTACAAAATTTACAAATCTTAGTATGCCCGCTACAGTTACATAATGCATTTTATCAGCAAAAAGTTCAGTATATTGTGGAAGCAATGCTACAGTCAGTATTGCTTGTGTAGCAGTTAGAGCCTACTAAAGCTAGCACTCTAGTAAGAAATAGCACTTCAACTTTTTCCTTTCAACACCTATTAACATGTTGATATAATCAGATCAGAATGGCAATGTAGAAGATATTACAACCCAGAGAATAAAACAAGGTCTGATTTAATGAGTAACTGATCAATGTGAATGTCTGAAATAACTATTGTACAAACTATGGCAATATCTGTCATTTGTTTTCTTAAGTACAAGGGGCAGCAGTATCTTATTTGCAAACCTGGCAAAAAAAGCATTGAAATAAAACTTATTAGGTCAAACTTATCATTTATCAAATGTAATCTTCGTGGGAAAATATCAGGACACTATAACAGATTTTACCAAAGGTTGATTCTTAGTAGCACATACACTATTCTGAAATCTTATTTCATCATTGTTCTGTAGTCAACAAACTATATTATCACTTACCATAACATCAGCAATTAATCCTGATCTGACAACATTTACTGCTGCCTAGTAAAGAATAGTTTCATCACTTCTCGATACTTTGTGTTGAGTGTCAACAATCATTATAATCTCGCAACATTTACCCTCACTTGATAACATTGTTAAAGCTCGAGAAATAATTATAGCCAGTATCTGACTATCATACCAGATCTTTATTCACAAGACTAGGGTGTGTCAGTATAATGACATCTACTGGTCAATGACTGATTAATGTATATAATTGTAAAAAGCCATCCTTTACTAATATTTTACAAACACCAGTCATCCCCCTTCCTTTGTTTACTAATATTTTACAAACACCAGTCATCCCCCTTCCTTTGTTTACTAATATTTTACAAACACCAGTCATCCCCCTTCCTTTGTTTACTAATCAATAAAGCCTTTTTTATTTGTAGTCAAAATAGGAACATACATAATTAGTTAATAGCTGTCTTATTTCAGGTGGCCAGGTGCCCCGCGAATTTACCTATCACCAGAATTCGACTCCACCAAGAGACAATAATGAAGGGGAGATAACCACTAACACTATTTAACAATAATAAAAACAAGGTACATGTATAATAAATACTAACATTATTTACATTATCAGCAAACTTTATGTAAATTAATATTTACATCATCATCAGCAAAAACAGTGTAAAATAATATCAACAAGAATAAAAATATGAACTAAAACAAGGTCAATATAGTAGCACTTTCCATAAAACCCTTCAATGAATACTTTTTTGGTGACTTTTGATACATGTTCTGCAAAATACATATTTCCTTACTGGCAAAAAACAATCAGCAATGCTTTTAATGATACGGTTTCCTTATTCTGAAGAAACTAATGTCCACACTATCAAACACACATTAAGTAGTATATGATGAAGATAAGGAAACATGTATGACACTTTCATATTTTCATTACATTCTTTCTTGCTCTAATTTGATCCTGAAACAAATATGCCCTATCTTCAGGAGGTCACTAGTGAAATATTCACTTTAGTGTTTTTTAACAATGTGTTTTTAAAGGAATACACTATATATCAATTACCACAGATTGTGTACAAATTCTTTTTCAAAGGCTGATATAAATCAAACTCGGGTGTTTGAACTGGTTGATGATAATTCTTGAATAGGATGCTGTATGTAAGTATCTTAAATCCATTAAGCATTCCTGATGTAAATTCTGAATACTAACATAAATACATAACTAATATTTCTAGATAAATTTTCTCCTTTAATTATTTCATTTGCATTGAAACCTCTAGTATGCTTCTCTGCTAAATGCATCCAACCTTCAAACACTCACCTTGGCATTCACCTAAACCATACATCAAATCTACATACACATGAACCTGCCAGTCTCCTATACAAAGCAAACCTTTCAACACTTATTGTTGCAGTCATCTCAAACACACATCAAACCTACACACAATCATAAAGCTGGTATTCCCACACACAAGTCAACAGCTGACAGGAAGCCAGACATCTAAGTCTACAAAAATATGTTAAGCACCAGGAGCTATTCTTACTCCTTGCTACATAGAGAAGAATGCACAAGGTTTAAATATCAACATGTGAGTATGACGTGGGTCATTTTTGTTTGAACATTGCTGAATACCTTTCTCTGAACGGTAATTTTTTGTCTTTTGCTTAAAACACATTACATATACTTTTTTGCTTACTTCTGCTGTCGTGTGTTCTTGATTTATAAGTACGGTGATCTCTAAATATAAGGTAATGTTGATATATGAGGTGTTTAGGTCACAAATGAACACAACAATTTGATGATGTTTTCCTGCACCATATGAACACTGGGAAAAAAATTACATGTCTATTCTAAAGTATAAATTTTGTAGTTGCAATACATGTGTATATTTTGTGCCTGTATTCATCTTCACTTTTAGTCAGTACCTATCATGGCTTCAAAAGTCAATCTTATGACAGAAATCTTGATTTTGGCTACGTTTTTCGGCAGTCTGATGACATTTTCACCAACAGTAATAATTAACTAGTGATGAAATTCTTTGCTGACTTTTTCCACAGAGGTGTTGCCATTTGCTGCATGACTCTTTCAACTGTTATCTGTTCATCCAAATTGTCTGCAGCTCTGTAGTGTACCAACAGCTCCTGAATAGCTTGTTCCTCCATCTGTCAACACAAACAAAACAAAGTTATAGCTTAGCAGGTAAAACCAAATAAAAGAAATAAAAATATTTTAAATTATAAGTTGTGTGGTCTTCAGAGAATAACCTTCACAGTACTTGTGAATGCCATAAATCTGTTATTTAATATTTCAAGCTACTAAACTTTCATTTTCTACCTTTTGAAAATTAATAAATTTATCAGCTTTCATTTTTTAAAAAATCATAGCCAGTACTTTTAGCATTGTATGATACAAGAAGTTAAATTTCTGTTGTATGTTGCGACAATTGAACATTAACTCAGTAAAGCTATTACCAACACAGAACTGAACCTTTCCTGATTTCTGCCAAGTCTTCCCTTTATCACACAACAACAATATAAATATTTTGTCCTTGTCATCTGTTAATTCTGTTTTCTTGTTCTACAATCATCATTGTTTTGGCTTGCTTAATACAGAAGCTATTGTTTCATCTGGGAACAAATGATCCTTTCCAATACTAGATTTCCCTAGTCATCCAGCCATCTCACAGTCGAGCTTCATTTGTTTATAAAAGATAATGAATATCTAAAGGATCCATGGTAATATTTTCACTTATTGACTTAGTTCTTTAAGGAAATATAATAGCAAATTCAAAACCTGGGACAAAACTTTTTGATATACTTTGTTAATCTGTTAATTAACTTTCCAAAATAAAATCAATCTCAAGGTCTATTACTTAAAAAGGGAACAAAAATTATGCCTACTTGTATCAGACTGAGGTGTTTCTTGGCTGCCTTAGCCAGGGTCTCAGTCCTCTGTTGTTCATCCTTGACAATATCAGTGAAGCACACAGAATCGCCGGGGGAGGGGCTGGTCATGACCTTTTTAGTCCAGGGATTGTCTGGACTCCTTGGGCTTGGAGGTTCTTCCCCTACAGGGTCACTCTGTGGTCCCTCCTCTCGGACATGACTTGTTGGTATTCCCCAACTGTAAAATCAAAGTTCAGACTGCAATACTTAGGTTACAACGTAAATTCACATAGAAAAGCTGAAAACTTATGCTTTCATCCACATTATTATATTTCTGATGTTGACTTAACAAGTCTGAGAGGCCATTATAAGGAACTTCTACTTATGGCGCAAACCATTTGACTCCAGCATATACTCCCAACTTTGTTGTTTTTAAAAACTACTAATACCTGGTATACCTGACTCCAGGTTTTGTTTGGATCCTTAGGGAGCACTGCCCAGTAGTATAATGTCCTTACCTGACTGTGGGTTTGGGTTTGAATCCTTTGTGACTACTGCCCAGTTGTATAATGTCCTTACCTGACTGTGGGTTTGGGTTTGAATCCTTTGTGACTACTGCCCAGTAGTATAATGTCCTTACCTGACTGTGGGTTTGGGTTTGAATCCTTTGTGACTACTGCCCAGTTGTATAATGTCCTTACCTGACTGTGGGTTTGGGTTTGAATCCTTTGTGAGTACTGCCCAGTAGTATAATGTCCTTACCTGACTGTGGGTTTGGGTTTGAATCCTTTGTGAGTTACAAGGGCTGACTGGATGGTCTGTTTAGTTGGCAAGGGTTGTTTGACTGCTTTACTGCTGTCCTCAGACATCAAATCTCTGAAGGATTTTACAGTAGTATTCACATCACCCCTGAAAATATGCAAAACATGTTTAGAAATAAACAATGCTTTCACAAAAAACATCATTTAAAAGATCAATACAGCAATCTGTTCCTATGTGAAATTAGAAAAGAAAGTATAATTTTACAACAAAAAAAAGGACCATATTTTTTCTATTCTTTTGGAAAACCCACAGGTGGTTATCTTTTATTGACAAAATTCCTTTCTGCTGGACTTTCAATTTAATCAAAGAGATATAAAAAAAAATGCTGTGTAATCATGTATGTATTGATATTGATACTCATTGCAAGGAGTCCTCCAGTAATATTCAAGTTGGCAGTGAAAAAGCAACTATTCTTCTTGTATAAAAACAATTTACTAACAATGGCTGCTTTAGGAAAATTTTCTGGTTTTCTTCAGGTGTTGTAGAAACTAGAAGTAATGAGTAAACAACGCTTACCATGGACATGTTGATTTGTTGGGTGTCTGTGGAGTTTGGGGTTCTGCTGGATTACTTCCCTTCAATGGCTGACTACTACTGTTAACTGCCACAGCTTTCTGTTGTTTCTTAGCTTCCTTCCATGAAAATTTGGAGCTGCTCTTGGCTGGACTTTTAATCCTAAGATATTAAAGCAAAAGTAATGAAATGAAACTTTTTTTTTTTGAATTTCACCTATTTTATTTACAAACAATAACAATGTTAACAAAATTCACCAGGACTGAAGCTTCAGCGTGTAGCACCAGTCACAATGTTAACAAAATTCATCCGGACTGTAGCTCCAGGGTTCAACAACCAGTCACAACATTTATAGAATTCACCAGGATTGTAGCGTCAGGGTTTAACATCAGTCATAACATTAACAAAATTCACCATTACTGTAGCATCAGGGTTTAACAACCAGTCATAACATTCACAAAATTCACCAGGACTGTAGCGTCAGGGTTTAACAACCAGTCACAATGTTAACAAAATTCATCTGGACTGTAGCTCCAGGGTTCAACAACCAGTCACAACATTAACAAAATTCACCAGGACTGTAGCTTCAGAGTTTAACAACCAGTCACAACATTTACAAAATTCACCAGGACTGTAGCGTCAGGGTTTAACAACCAGTCATAACATTAACAAAATTCACCATTACTGTAGCATCAGGGTTTAACAACCAGTCATAACATTAACAAAATTCACCATTACTGTAGCATCAGGGTTTAACAACCAGTCATAACATTAACAAAATTCACCAGGACTGTAGCGTCAGGGTTTAACAACCTGTCACAACATTTATAAAATTCACCAGGATTGTAGCGTCAGGGTTTAACAACCAGTCATAACATTAACAAAATTCACCAGGACTGTAGCGTCAGGGTTTAACAACCAGTTACAACATTAACAAAATTCACCAGGACTGTAGCTCCAGGGTTCAACAACCAGTCACAACATTAACAAAATTCACCAGGACTGTAGCGTCAGGGTTTAACAACCAGTCACAACATTTACAAAATTCACCAGGACTGTAGCGTCAGGGTTTAACAACCAGTCATAACATTAACAAAATTCACCAGGATTGTAGATTCAGGGTATAACACCCAGTAACAATCATAACAAAATTCACCAAGACTGTAACTCCAGGGTGTAACAATCAGTCACAACATTTACAAAATTCACCTGGACTGTAACTCCAGGGTATAACACTCAGTAACAATCATAACAAAATTCACCAAGACTGTAACTCCAGGGTATAACAACCAGTCACAACATTTACAAAATTCACCTGGACTGTAACTCCAGGGTATAACACCCAGTAACAATCAAAACAAAATTCACCAGAATGGTAGTTTCAGAGAATTTGTGAATTAGTCTATTATCAAACTAACAGTGTACAACAAACATGTATTTAACACTAATCACTCTGATGTGTGAAGCCCTATTGTCTTTTTAAAATGTGGAACAATTTGGATCAAACAGGTTTTATCTAGTGATAGTTGTATTGTCTGTGTCTAATTAGAATTTGATGATTTTTGTATAAGGACAAATACCAGGAATGGTAGTGTAGGATAAGTACTAAAAATGTGAGCGTAATTCCTTACCTCCTATTTTCTTCTTCCATTATTTCACGCAAACTGAGAGCTGAACTTGAACCTCTGGAGCAAGTCGTATCTATGGTTGGGACAGGCTGTACTTTTGGGGTGGTGGTATTCTGTGGAATAGGAGATTTGTGTGGTGTAGGAGACTTCTGCCAGGCTATTGATGATTGATGTTCTGGGGACGTCACCGCAGTTGTTGAAACCACAGGAAAGCGGTCATGTGACCTTGACGTCAGACTTATTGTTAATGGTTTCTGACTACTATTAGATCTCTGTTTATTTTTCCTTGTCAACACTTCTTCTGTTGGTAAAATCTTCTCAACCACCTGTTTTTCTGTTTGGTTCTCTGCTACTTGACACTGAAACATAAATTCCATTAAATATTACACCTCCAGCTAAAACGGAAATGAATTCCTGTTACAGATTAGGCTAAGATTAAAAAACTATAATCCTTGTAAAATTGCAAATGGTAAATGCTTTATATACTTAATACAGTCTTGAGGGGCTTGAAATCATTCAAAACTTTGTTCTTTGTACTTCTTCAAGATTGTGAGTGCTAACCATCTACCAGAACATGACAATGGTATGTTTAGAATCATAATACCCTGTAAGGGTGTACGTAACCAGGCTGGAGACCAGTAAATTTAGAATGGTTATGACCTGTTAGGTTCTTCATTACCGGGGCTGGAGACCAATTAATTTAGAATGGTTATTACCTGTTAGGTTCTTCATTACCGGGGCTGGAGACCAGTAAATTTAGAATGGTTATTATCTGTTAGGTTCTTCATTACCGGGGCTGGAGACCAGTAAATTTAGAACGGTTATTACCAGGTATCTGTTAGGATCTTCATTACCGGGGCTGGAGACCAGTAAATTTAGAATGGTTATTACCAGGTATCTGTTAGGATCTTCATTACCGGGGCTGGAGACCAGTAAATTTAGAACGGTTATTACCAGGTATCTGTTAGGATCTTCATTACCGGGGCTGGAGACCAGTAAATTTAGAATGGTTATTACCAGGTATCTGTTAGGATCTTCATTACCGGGGCTGGAGACCAGTAAGTTTAGGATGGTAGTTACCTGAGGGGTTCAGTGTTATCAGGATTGGTGACTAGTAAGTTTAGGATGGTAGTTACCTGAGGGGTTCAGTGTTATCAGGATTGGTGACTAGTAAATTTAGGATGGTAGTTACCTGAGGGGTTCAGTGTTATCAGGATTGGTGGCCAGTAAATTTAGGATGGTAGTTACCCGAGGGGTTCAGTGTTATCAGGATTGGTGACTAGTAAATTTAGGATGGTAGTTACCTGAGGGGTTCAGTGTTATCAGGATTGGTGGCCAGTAAATTTAGGATGGTAGTTACCCGAGGGGTTCAGTGTTATCAGGATTGGTGGCCAGTAAGTTTAGGATGGTAGTTACCTGAGGGGGTCAGTGTTATCAGGATTGGTGACTAGTAAATTTAGGATGGTAGTTACCCGAGGGGTTCAGTGTTATCAGGATTGGTGACTAGTAAATTTTGGGGTAGTTCTGAGGGGTGTTATCAGGATTGGTGGCCAGTAAATTTAGGATGGTAATTACCCGAGGGGTTCAGTGTTATCAGGATTGGTGGCCAGTAAGTTTAGGATGGTAGTTACCTGAGGGGGTCAGTGTTATCAGGATTGGTGTCCAGTAAGTTTAGGATGGTAGTTACCCGAGGGGTTCAGTGTTATCAGGATTGGTGGCCAGTAAATTTAGGATGGTAGTTACCTGAGGGGTTCAGTGTTATCAGGATTGGTGGCCAGTAAATTTAGGATGGTAGTTACCCGAGGGGTTCAGTGTTATCAGGATTGGTGACTAGTAAATTTAGGATGATAGTTACCTGTAGAGGTTCCCCACTGCCAGGACTAGAGGCCAGTAAGTTCAGGATGTTATCCAAGCTTTCCTCCTCAGACTTAACACTATGATCTGAGCTAACTGATATCTGTCGATCACGTTTCTGTGATCTAATTTGAGCTGTCTTTTCCAAATCCTCACTTAAGCTTTTCTGACGGCTTCTCCTCTTTTTTGACTTGTTCTTCTTTTGACTGCCCTCATTAGTCAATGTAGGACCTTCACTGTCCATGTCTGCTGCCAAACACTCAAGGAAGTCCTTGCTAGGGCCGTCAAAGTATGGTGTAATGATACGTCGTGACATGGCCTTAGTCTTGTTGTGATAGTAGACAGTTAGACCAGCCAGGACATCGTCACTCAGAACATCAAGGTGTCTGTTATACACAGAAAAAATAATGTTTATCGAGTCCTTCAGTGTGAGAATGAAATGGTCATTCCAACAACCTTTTCCTTTACAAATCTCAAAGTATTTGTATATTTCCCCAATTTTTATGAAAACATTTACTTATCAGTTCTTTAAAATAGTTTTTTGAAAAATTTTCCCAGGGGTTAAATTTGACTGTGCTCTTGTTTCTGCTTTTTCGCTGACTACATTTACATCAATATAATCTTATATTAGCATTTGTAATGTATTTTGAAAATAAATGTTTATGAGTAAATCCATTTTCAATGGGTACACATCTTGTTATCATGCATCACTGACTTCACTCAGTTAATCAAAATGTAGTTAAATTAATGTTACATTGTAAAGGTATATTTTCATATTCTATATTTTGTTAAATGATATTTAGGTACTATACCACTAATCCATAATATCAGTGACATTTTAAATATTTCACTGGCGTCTAGAATTCACGGATTTCAGTTGAAATGCATATATAGCGAAAAATAACTAAAACGAAAGAGAAAATGTAAAATGCAACAGCTATATAGCAGAGATGTTACGAAATATTTACATACATATCTCATTCTTAGACTTACACTACATATAACACGTCTTCTGGTCTGGTTGTATATGCTGTATAGAATGAACAAAAAACTTCAAGATTGACAGCACAAAAAACTGATAAGAAACAGTAAGCTTGATGCAAATTTGAAAACTGAAAAAACACCCAAATCAATTATCCTGTTCAACAACAACAAAAAAACCCCCAAAAAACCCAAGTCCCTTCTGCCCCTACATACCTGCCCTCAAACATGGCTGCCAGGTTGATAACGATGAATTCCTGACAAACAGCCTGCAGTTGCTGAGCGTTGTACACACAGGCAAACTCAAGGATCTCTGCCACATTCTTCAAGTTTACTGAAAAATACAATAGTGATGATTTATCAATACTTCAGACTTCAAATTTTTGTTTTTGATTTGGTTCTAGTGCCTGGGTTAATCAGGATTGCTCAATTAATGGGAAAACATTCACTTTTTTATTATGTAGTGATTTTCAAACTGAACTAGAGAGATATAGGAGAAAACTTACTGAGTGTGGCGATGGACACCTCACACATCTCCTTTAGCCGTGTAATCAACAACTGATCAGCTGACACCAGAATGTTACACAGGAACTCAGCATTGTCACACTCTGTAAATGAATATTTTTCAAATTATTGCTTTTAGATTATAAAATTATGGTTTTCATTTTGACAGGAAAGGAAACAGCAGGGAGAAGTTTATCATAGTTTGTTTTACTTTTTCCAGCACAACATAGTAGCGGTAATTTTAACTTTTATAACCAAACATGATTTCCTTTATATTCTTTCGTACATTACAAGTTCATTATCGTATGTATATAACTACAAACAGATATTCAATGGTAAATATGCTTAAAATGCCTGTTGCTGACTTTCATCAAAGAATTTTGTAAAACAAAATTTCAACTACAGAATAATCAAATTGTGACCCAAATATTATCGTGCTAAAACTGTTTTAATTATGACTTTATAAACAATGAAGAGTTTGCAGGGATGATCGATCAACTAATGGCAGATATTTCAGTCAGTATTCAGAATCAGCCATTTTAAGTAACAAATGTAAGTTAGAAATAAAATATACTGAAATAATGTGTCTTTATGAAGCTACAATAAACTGAGTGTTTGGTATTGATCATGCAACACCCACCTTCAACTACTTGGGATGTGTCTGTGTACAGAAAGTCTATAAGTATTTCCAATATGTCTCCAGGAACAGGTAGTGACAGAGAGGTCGTGTTGGATGTCTGGAAAACAAGGTTACATCATATCACCTCCATTCTATGTGAGGTACATTTCACTATATTATAACCAAACATTAGGTCTTAAGCATGTTCCCCAAGAGAGCTCAGAAGACCTAGATGGTCAATGTAATGTAACACTGAACAACTTTCGGTACGTGACACAACATCTTCCCAAGATTTACCCATGCACAAATCTTGAAGATACAAGTTATTTTAATGATAATTATACAACCAAGAAATGAAAAATGCATCGACAACATGCCTAATACATACATTGCATTATTTTTAAACTGAGAGTGTAACAGCTTGCATCTGCTAACCGGGTGGTGCAAGGTCACCAGGGGTGATAATCAGGTATACAAAGATCTAAGAATGTGTTAGTATTATGTCTTACCTCAATCCAGCCACTGCCTAGCATGCTGTGGAAGTACTCCAGTCTGGCAACTAACACACACTTGTGACAGTGTATCACAGTGTTATCTTCTGACTGGATACTAACATCATACATATCACGCCTGTGGACACAGAAAGAAAGTTTATGTTTATAAGGTGTATTGTTGATTAGATAGAATATAATGTTGATATAACCATCTTTTTTATTTGAGATTAAAAGTATGATATTTGACCTGCAATTCTGAAAGGTAGTGAAACCATAAATCCTGAGAAATGATCAGTGTAGCATGGTGTCAATAG